CAAAGTATGTGAGTTTAGTGGCCAGACCTCCTCTCAAGCAGGTGATCAACCTTAATTGGGTCCACTACTGACTGACTGGTTCCCCTCCCAGCAGGCAGTACTCTTAAGGGCCACCTTCCTTTTGCTTTTCCTCAATTCCTAGCTTGCAAAACAAAGCATTACCCCTGGAAAGTGAATTGCTTTAACCATTCTGACCTTTCTTGTCCTATAAAATGACCCTTGTTTCTCACTGCCTTCTTCCCAAGATGAATCTCTTTGCTCCTCTTGCATCCTGTCCACCTGGGGCTGTTTTTCAGCCCATGAACACCAAGCCAGCTATCTCGCTAGCATCTTTGCCATCTGCAATACCTTCACAAACCGTAGGAGCTGATGTTAGCTGTGAAGAAGCAGGTGGGGGTGGCTTCCTTCACCCCCTGCCCATCTGTCACTTTTCTGCCTCCAGAATTTTCCAGCTGTAAGGTCTCAATACCTTTGTGGGAGGCTAACAGCTGGAAGACATGGATGGGAAGTAACAGGTTGGAAATGAAGAGCAGGGCAAGGTTTAATTCTCTGGACCCCCACTGCTTCTTGCTGATTGTCGTGAACATGCTCTATTCTATCAATCAGGTATTGTGATGCATATACCCACACTTACATATAATAAAGACTTTGACTAAGCTAGAACAGAATAGAAAAATAAATTTGAAAAGACTTTGGGCTGACCAGCAGAGGGCAGTATTGTAACAAAACTAGCAACAACCATTGTTATGTAGGATCTCTTTAGGTTCAAACCAGGTTTTTCTAAACGTGGCTAACAACATCCACATTTTCATCCTCTGAATAAATTACTCATTTAAGGCTTTATCTTCATCTGCATTTATTCCATAAACTAAATTAAGTTCATGAGCTGAGTCTTCATTTATAATTGCTAAAAGCAAAGGCTGTTCAAAAACATACCAACCACACCGCCTTCTTCATTTTCAATTGCTAAACAGTGAATCTTCACTTAAAGCAGTGGTTCATAAACCGAGGATAATTACTCCCAAGGGGGTAATTTGGTCATATCCTGGGGGTAACAGAGCAATTTGTAATTGCTTGTTGTGAGTTGAGGATCCAGGTGGGGCTGTTGCCACTAGACACTTATGGAAAACAACAAAGTTTGGTTTTGAGGGGGTGGGGGTGGAGATAATGCCGTTATTCAAGACTGGGAAAAGGAGGAAATGGGTCCAGCAGCTTAAGAACCCTGACTTAAAGAGGAAAAATAAGATGGAAACTCCACATATTCTGAAACAAACCTCATAGCTGAGACAGAATAGGGATCGCTATCAGCGGCAACATTTCGGCCAGCGTCTGTTTCTTCCAATGCGCAGACAGGAAGGGAGCTCTTCAATGCGTCTGCTCTCAGGGCTGGACCAGAAGTGGCAGAGCAACCATTCACTTGGCTTGAGCAAATGGTCTCCAAACCCACCTTTCTCAATCTTTTTAACATGGAGGGACCCTTGAAATATTTTCCAGATCTCAGGGAACGCACAACCTTCACAATCCAATTCATTTCTAATGACACAATCCGTGTTTGGCAACGTTTACAGTAACAACAAAGTGGAGGGGCGGCAGCTGAGTGGCAGTGTGTAAAAAGCCCCACCATGGCGAGGGCTGGCGTCACATGGCAGACAAAGAACAGCCATCTGCCACCATTTCATGATACCGGAAGACATTGACCTCTCTGCTTCCTAGATGCTATGCTTTCTTCACTCATCTTTCATTCATTCATTCATTCATTCATTCATTCATTCATTCATTCATTCATTAACATTCTTAATTGCTTCTTGTTGTAAGTATACATTTAAATCCAGCCATGGGGTCTCAGTCATGGAGAAGACCTATGGGGTCCCTAGGAGTCAGAAATGGCTGGATGGCCAGGTTAGCACTTAGAGGGATCATTGTTGACTTCCTAATCTTGCCAATAATCCTGGTATTTTGCTGGTTTCCCAACCCATTACTAACCAGGCCTGGAGGATGTAGGTAAAAATATGACCCCAAATGCAGCCCAAACCAAGTTACCCAATGTTCTGTTTTTGTAGTCTAATATATGATCTGTCTGGAGATAAAAGGACCATCATGATGGAAGCAAGGGTCATCATGATGGAAGCAAAGACCATCAGAAGGAAGCAAGCTCTGGATGATATTCATGATACTTCAACAATGGGCAACTGTTTTCAGAAATGCCTCCCTTCAGAGAAAATGTCTGCTTGGAGTGGGCATTCCACCTTTAATGCCATTCCATAGCCCCGCATAGCTGTCTGTCTCAAATCCACCAAGGCACCAGAAATGGGACCTAAATAACAAGTATGTCACCAAAGTCAGACAGTAATAATAATTTAGAAGCCTACCTGACTTCTGCTGACTTTGAAAAACGGAGCAGAGAGAGACCTGGCTAATACTTAAACCAGGAAATGTCAGGACTGTAGGCCAGGATAGAAAATAAGAAGAAGAAAGAAGAAAACTACGTGGATGTAGTTCCAGGACTTGATTGCAGCTTTAGGGAATATTTACTTGTTCTATGCTTTCATTCAAGACAGGACATGATGTTGACGCACTCACCCACAAAAAAGAGGGCCTCCAGCATGTTACCACCTTTCAAATATTTACCTTGTCATTTTTAATCATCATTTGATGTTTATATTTTCAAAAATGGATTTTAAATATTACTAGCTGCCTTGAGTGCTTTTTAAGTAGAAAAGCAGAATTACAAGTATTTCACATCGGCACGTAAAGTTCCTAGCTGAACATTTGGGAGACGACAGTGCTTGTCCCAAGGAAGAGGGACAAAAGCCCACTGAGTTGGCCAACTCACCTGTCTTTGGGGACTACGTTGATGGGGTCAATGTAGATCAGTGTTGTCCAAACTTGGCCACTTTAAGATGAGTGGACTTCAACTCCCAGAATTGCCCAGCCAGCCATGCTG